CCCAGCAGGTCGAGGCTGCGGAGGCCGGGAGCGGCCACTGCACTCCAGTCTGGGAGACAGTGAGACCCCAATTCAAAAAAAAAAAAAGATTGAAGCATGTATCCATGCTACAACATAGATGAACCTTGAAAACATGATGCTGAGTAAAAGAAGTCAGAGTTAAGAGACTGCAATATTGTATTATTCTATTTATAGTAAATATTCCAAACAGGCAAATCCACAAAGACAAAAAGCAGGTTAGTGGTTTCCAGGGGCTGGGGGGAGGGGAGCGTGGAGAGTGATTGCATGGGTTTTCTTTTTGGGGTGATGAAAATTTTCTGGTACCAGGTGATAGTGAAGGTTGCACATCATTGTGAATGTACTACATGGCACTAAATTGTAGACTTTAGGTGGTTAAAATGGTAAATTTTATGTTATGTATTTTACCTCAATATAAAAAATAGAGTATCAAGTAATAGAATTTTAGCACTGCAGAGAACTTAACACATCATCTAATCCAAACCTTTCTTTTCTTTTCTTTTCTTTTTTGAGTCCGAGTCTCACTCTGTCACCCAGGCTGGAATGTAGTAGCATGATCACAGCCACTGCAGCCTTGACCTCCTGGGCTCAGGCGATCCTTCCAACTCAGTCTTGCGAGTGGCTGGGACTACAGGCATGTGCCATCCCACATGGCTAACTATTTTACTGTAGAGATGAGATCTTGTCATGTTGCCCAGACTGGTCTTGAATTCCAAGACTCAGGCAATTTTGCCTCGGCCTCCCAAAGTGCTGGGATTACAGGCATGAGCCACGGCAACTGGCATTGATTTTTTTATTTTTATTTTTTGAGTTGGAGTCTGACTCTATCACCCAGGTTGGAGTGCAGTAGCACACTCACAGCCACCCTAGCACTGACCTGCTGGGCTCCGGTGATCCTTCTACCTCAGCCTTCCAAGTGGCTGGAACTATAGGTATGTGCCACCACATCTGGCTAATTTTTTGATTTACTGTAGAGATGAGGTTTTACCAATTTTCCAAGGCTACTCTTGAACCTGTGGGTTCAGGCAATCCTCTAACGTTGGCCTTCCAAAGTGCTGGGATTACAGGCTGAGCCACCGGGCCTGGCCAGCACTGATTTTTTTTTTTTTTTTTTTGGAGTTGGAGTCTCACTCTGTCACCCAGAGTGGAGTGCAGTGGCCGCTCCCGGCCACCGCGGCCTCAACCTGCTGGGCTCCGGCGATCCTTCCGCCTCAGCCTTCCGAGTAGCTGGAACTACATGTGTGCGCTACCATGCCCGGCTC